TAGCAGACTGCAAGAATCCTTGAATTCATGTCACAAAATACGAAACAACCAGTAACTTCAGCCTTGCTGTAGCCTTTGCCCTTCTGCTCACTCAGAACAGGTACTACAGCCCAGTGAAAGGCAACTTCCTTGGAATACTGCCCTTGCTGAAGTCCACTGTTTCAAAGCGCTCTCAGTACAGAACAGTGTGTGTCCTTGCCCAGTCGAAACTCGAAGGTTTTTCCATCTTGCCGCTGTAGTCATGTGATTAATGTGAATCACACTTCTGCATAACACCGCTTCCTTTCCAGGGAACATAGTGTCTCTTGAACAAATCCAGGTCTCCTTCCTAAACTGCAGTACTGTCTTTTATTTACCCAAAGAAATAACATCTTGTCAAAAAAAGATACTTCCAGAAAAGATTTCAGAAGTGTTCTTGAAAAAAAAGTAAATCCATGTTTTCAGGCAGCATTGTTTAGGAAGAAGGGAGGCACTCCAGGACAGCTAACAAAAGGCAAACTCTGTCACACAGCAATTCATGTTGTCTGCAATAAGCTGATGCAAGATGTGTGTATGACTAGAAGAAAATCACAGCTTTTCACAAATTCTCAGCCTTCCTATATTGAAGTCCCCCTCCCTTGCCATTCTGAGTCACAGTCAAAATCGGTCACAGAAACAGGGGCATCATTTCCTACTGTCAGGGGTGCAGCCTTCACCCCTGCACCCAAGGGAAGACAAGAAGTTGTGCAAACTGCCACCATGACTGGCAAGTACTTCACACCAGTAAGAGGTTTGAGCTCCTCTACAAGAGGCAAAGTCACAGGAGCAGTCTAACCCCATCGGGTACTTGGAGAGAGCCATTATTGCAGTACCTCACGTAACTACCTAACCCAAGACTCAGAGAGGGAATCCTTACAGCCATCACATGAGGAAGAGGGACAACACCACCCTAGGTAAAGTGAACTGCCATGGAACAGAACTTAAAATATTTTGATTTCTTTCTCCCCAGGCACAGGCCATCCTCCATCCTTCCACAACGGTTGAGACCAAACTACAGATTGAGGATGAGACTTTCAGGCAAGTCCCACTCTCATTTAGAAACCAGGAGTTCTGATTATCTCAGCAAAAGTACCTGCAAACCAAAGCTATGTGGTTTGCCACTAGAGAAGCCCTTGGACCAGCTGTGCAGTCTAGGGAGTATCACGCTCTGCTAAGAACAGCCAACTCCTCCACCACTCCCCTCACCATAAGCCTCCCTGCCATCTGCTTTATCAGTTCCTACCCCATCCCCTACTCCAAACCCCATCTCACATCCCTCTTGAAATTTAGGGTTTGTAGGTGGATTTCATTTGCTTTGAAGTGAAATCTCCCTCCTAGGCTCAGCCATAAATGTAATTCCTCCTTTATGTCAGCACAGCCCAAGTCCTGTACCTTCCCTGCATGCTTTCCATTCAAGCAAAATGAGTTTGGGCAGGTAAGAATGGTTTCAAGTTTTTTCCTCACCAGCTTAGTACCAATCAACAGACCAGACTGTTTCAAGGCAGAGCCCACTAGCACAGCATTCATTTCTATTTCACAGATTTGTTTCTCCATATGCTCCCTTATACTATTCTCCTCTTCCATCACCTTAAGCCTGGTGTGTCTAGTTTTTTTTAAGATATTGATCTTTGTTATCACAGTAAGACCAGATGGTCTGTGACTTTTCATAAGGTATTTCCTCCTCCTCCTCCCTCCCTTGATTCAAGAGGGATCCAAGAAAACCATTTATCAGGTTTCTCTCAGGTTGTAAGAAGTCTGATAAAATTGCTAAGCATCATAAACCTCTACCAAACAAACCAACCCCCAAGGCGAACTCCTAGTGGAGTCCTTCTAGCAGAAGCAGAGAAAGCAGTGGTTGGAGGTCGGATGGAGCTAACTCAGCTTCCCAGGTACCCGGGGGTGCATGAGTCTGGCGAGAGAGATGCCGCTCCAAACAACAGGAGGATACTTGTCTGAGCAGCAGGTGGTGCAAGCACTACCCCATACGCACAATTGCAATGTTAATGACCTGTGAAAGCAGATCTCCTGAAGTACAGATGTTTGGGTGGAAACCAAGAGAAGGTTCTGTTTAGAGAGAAACGCTGTTTCTGTTAAGTTTGTCCTTCCCCTGCTCATTTAAAAATAGGCCTGTCCAGCTATGTACGTTGCCAAGGACAAGACTAGGCAGCAGAGTGCTCACAATCAGTGCCAAGAGTCACAGTTATAAAAGTAGGAGCCTCATTACTTCCGTAGACTGGGACTGAACTAACCAGAATTGCCGAGGAGGATCTCATCAAGAAGGATATGATTCCATTTACTGTTGGATAAAGGGCAATAATGAAGTGTGAATGCTAACAAATGGTCAGCTGGCAGAAATCTTTTGTGGTCAATTATGAGTTTCAGCCACCCATTTCCAAGCAGATGTTCAAATCCCATCTGATGTTTACATCTGCTACATCGCAGCCTCAGCAGCATTTAGATTCCTATAGGAAGCTGCAAATAAATTTATCTATTCAGACTGAATAATATCCTCTAGAAACTAGAATGAGAGGAAAAACAACCAGAACCACAGGTTATGTCCCAACTCGCTTGAGATGGCTAGATGTGAAAAGTTTACTCTGAATATAGAAGGATTTCTTCCAACTAGTTGACGTTCAGAGATTGCACATGCAGTAGCCAGTGCAACACACTCAACACAGATATAAGAAAACTGTATTTACAGAGAACCTGCAAGTGCAAGATACCGTGCAGATAAGCGAAGAGATAAAGCCTCTGCCGTAGCCAGCCTGTAATTCACCCAGACAATGTACGAGCAAGGAGCAAGAGCCAGGATACAAGGAAGAGCAGACAGATCATGCAGAAGAGAGGATAGCAAAGTCAAACACTACCTTAAGACAAATGCCAGGAGATTTGCAATACAAAACAGAGCTAAAGATTTATAGCAGCAATATATTAGTTACTGCTTCCCAAAGGGAATTCCCTTGCTGGCTCTGAAACCCACTAATTTTCCTTCAGGAATTTCTTGGGATCATTCTGCATTTCTGCATCTCCTACACAAATGATACACAAGCCATTGCTGCAGACCCAGGTGCACAGAAGTACCGTACAGGGTCAGAGTCAGCCCACTGAGGAGGTTTTGCTGTGACAACTGGGAAAGCCCACGCTGTCTGTCGGGCTGAATTCCAAGCCTACAGCTATTTGGAATAAGAGAGGTTTGCACTAATAAGAAAATCAAATTTCGTGCATCACAGACAATGTTTTTCCTCAGCAAAATAGATCTCTATTTCACTCACCAGCCTTGTTCATTTGGAGCTCTTGCCTGATTTTCTGTGACTCAGAACATACGTCTTGCATTTTTAATTTGAAAGGAAGGGAAAACAGGCCATTTTAGCTTTCTTTGCATAGTCCCCTCTGCATTACTTATGCTGTATTCATACACTGGAAAGCAGCCCTGTGGCTATGCAGCTGTTCCTGCTGCCCAGATAAGTGCAGGCTCCATGCAATGAGCCACAAAACTGTCAGTTTCTTCTAACTCTCAAGAAATGACAATTATTGCATCCATGAATGCTCAGAATAACCACAGCGGGAGGCCATCTCTGGAAGCTACCAGAACACTCTTTGCCCTTCAGAACATCCCAATTCTACCCATCAACCCATCAGATACAGCTCTTCAGCTGATATCCATACCTGCTCTTTACAGGCATCTTCCTTTAAACCTCCACAGTCGATAGCTCTCAGATAATACCGTTGAGGGAGGCAATGTGTAGAAGGTATCAATAGTAAATCCAAACCTCAGCACTTAAGCTAAATATTCCCCAAGCCTGGGTTCATAGTTGAGGACTGACAAGAACAAGTTACCTCCCAACACAACAAGCCAGAGCTCAGCTCTGCTCTCCCCAGGTAACATGGGCCTGTTTCAGGAGCACCCCTAATTTACCGCAGCAAGCCCCCTGTAGAACGTTTCCCAGGTATCCCTAACTATGAGACTCATCTGAACCAGTCTTGGAACAAGACTGACTGCTGTGTGGGAACTCTGTGCATGGTAGTGCCAGCAAGTGTAACAGGCACTTTTTATTTCCCTCTGAAAAAAAAGTACATTCAAAACATCAAAGAAGACAAGCTCAGCAAGCCAGGCCTCCTGCTAGGGTACCTATCCTCCACTCTGCCCTCCCCACCAGTACAGCCTTACCCCACCCCATCCCGGGGTTACCTGGTGTAGCAGCTACCGTTTCCTTTATATGGACATGTAGAGTCTGGATATATATGCGTCTTCTGCTCAAGCTCCACTTCTGAAATGCATGTCCATTGATTCAGTCTTTAAAATAAAAGACAGTTAATTTTTTTAGGCAGTTTGTCAAATGAGGTTACAGAAGACAGAGGAGACAGTGTCCTGTAGAACTAGTACAGACATAAATTTTTGTAGCATTATTCTATGATTGCAAAAATAAAAGTATTTATTCTAATAAAGCTGCAAAGATAACATACTGAGAGCAGAGCAGGACAGAGTGTCAGCTGAGTGAAACAGCAAGTCACTGTCCTGATTAACAAGCCAGAAACCTGCAGTGAGCCCTCAAAAGCAGCAGATCTTTCATGTTACTCAAGGCCATGCTGGGAACGGCAATGCACAGAACATCTGAGTGCAGCAGATCTGCAGCGGCCACAGGGAAGAACCACCGAACTGACAACTCCAGGCCCAGGAGCACCAGACAGCAGAAGCCAACCATCCCTGCCCAGCACACGGCGCTGCTCTGCTGCTGCCATCTGCCGGAAACCACTCCAGGAGAGCAGCCACCAAGCCAAGCCAGCACAAACACCTCCTCTTCCACCCTGCAGACTACTGCCCAGAACTGCCTTAGCGACCTTCTTTCCCATTTGGATCAGCCCTCTATTCTTCCCCCTCTTACAGGGTAAAATATTAAGTACTTTTCTCCACTATTTCAGTGCACTTTAAGAAAAAAAAAAAAAAAGAAAAAGAGAGAAAACCAGCAGCACACAACCAACCAAACTGGTTTGGGAAACTGCTGGGACATTTTTCAAAGTGCAAAGGCATTTAGATGCTCTTAAGAAATTACCTTTCCTCCTCTTGTGGCACAGAAATAACTTTGCCAAGCTTCTTCCCACTGGTTGTCTCTTCCTGTCCAATCTGGTCTACAGCTGTACCACTTAACTAGAAAGATAAGGAAAAAGGGGATTGACACCCAATAGAAAAATCATTCCATGTAAGTCTTGCTTATACAGTTACATAAAAATCACACTTTCCTCCCCTTGAAAAACCTTCCCTTGCTGTGTAAAAATACACACTTGCGTGCATACAGCCATTACTGCAAGTACAAATCAAAAGGAATGGAATTAAAAACATTTGAGTTACAAGAATTAAGATGTGCATTTACTTTAATGCTGTTTGATGGCTGTCCAAGTTCTGAAGATTCCTGCCCCCCACCATCCTCTGGAGAGTCTAACTTCCTTGAGAAACAGCTCTTTGTTGCTTTGGGAAGTTCTTGGTTTCTGGACCCGGAAGATGGTGCAGGACACCCTGGCAACACAGGTGCTGAGCTCTCCTCAGCTGTACTCTGGTCACAGGCAAGATCAGAAGAGGGCATGGATCTTCCCACATGATCACCACAGGAGTGAGACACATCTCTGCTTGCGAAGGGAGCCTTTCCCAGGCAATGCACACCCAGGCTTTGCCAGCCATTAGACATCAGCCCCTCCGAGGTTTCTTTGAGAACACAGCTACTAGCAGTTTTAGCACACTCTAGGCAATCATTTATGATTGCTTCTGAAGCTTCTCTTTCAGCTTCTTCCAAACAATTGTCCTCCAGAGGCTGATCTACACAGACAGCATCAATTGGGCTAAGACTCAGAAGCTCCTGAATGTCAAGGTCAAACAACATGCAAGTTACTTGGGCTGACTGCAGATGGTTCTCCTCCCAACCAGCACTTTCATTCGAAAGGCTAGGACAACACTCAGAAGCGACTGAAGAACACTCTCTGGCCAGAGGTTCATTTGGTTTCTCTGCGATCTCTGAGGTTATGTTTGCCTCTTCGCTGATGACTGATGCCCCAGTGCAGCTGCTGCTCTTGTTCTTCTCGCTCTCTCCATTTACATTTTGGCTCAGAGTGCTTTTTCTAGTTAGGTACCGCTCAGATTCCACACAATCATCTGCCAAGATTTCCTGGATCTCTTCCTCAGTGTAATCAAAAGGAGAGTTCCCTTCTTCACTATCTGACAGTTCCAACAAGGAGTCATCTGGCTCGCTATCATCAAAACATCTGGTTGTATCTAGAGAAATGGCTACATCATCATATTTTGATGCAGAACTGGTAACAAGGTCGTCATGGCCAGGATCATCTAGAAAATGAGAGGATCCTTGAGAGCAGGCAGAATCTGGGGAACAGAGCAGCAGTTTCCCTGATGGATCTGAGGTGCTACAGTAATGACTCAATTCACAAGCTTTCTTAGCTGACTGCAGGGCCTGAACCTGCCCTGCGGAATCCAGCAGCCTTTTTGCCCTGGGAACTGTGTTACGAACAGGTTTAAATTCACGACAAAGATAAGGCCCAAAGGTGTGAGGGGAATGGTCATCCATGTTGCTGTCGGTTCCTGTATCTAAGTGGCCCTGTGCCTTCTGCTTACAGCTCTAGAAGCCTGTTCTGAAGTTCATCTGATCCTGGTGCCCTTTGATCAGCCCTTTCAGAAAGAAAAAAAATCAGCAGGAGTCAGCTCCAACCTGCCGGCAAAAAACATCTTAAAAGAAATTCAGCTGTTTTCCAAACATGCAGTAATATAACGGGGAATGCAAAAACACTAGCTGAGGCACAACAATTTTAACTCCCTGGTCTCCATTGCCTCTACTCCTGATCATTTTAGGTCTTAACACCATATAAAAACCATTCCATGAGGGCTCTCAGGTTGTCTGGCTTTATCAAGCAGGACTAATACAAGCCCCAATCGTCAGCGCAGTCTGCACCATCTCCTCCAAAGCTGCTGTAAATGAGTCATTCTAACACCAGATACCAGTATGCACAAATTACATTCTTTACGACCTTGAAGTACAGAGCACACTTTAGGTATTAAATAAAGCCTCACAGACCCTCCCAGTCTCCCAACCCCCACCTCCATCCTTCAACAATATTAAACAAATAAAAAGTCTTTTTTGGGTTTGGAAAAACTGAGCAACGGAAATGTAACTGTCAGGGAGCGAAAAGGACATTCAGCAGCATATTAGTCACTAGCACACTCATACAAAATGCATATTACAAGGAGAGATCAGAAGATAAAGGACCTTCCTGTAAAATTCAATAGTTTAAAAATATTCACAAACAAAACCTGTTTTCCTCTTAGTGAGGACTCACACTAACATGTATCTTTTGACCTGAAAGCCCTGCATTTGACTCTTACCCAGCGGGAGAATCTGGACGAAGGAAAGGTATTTCCTGTCCTCTTTGACAAGATTTAAAGGAATGACTTTTGTTTTCCCATTGGTTTGACTACTCACTGCTTTCAAAAAGGGCAGGTTACCCACTACAGGAATAAAACCCCTGCAGTTCTGCTGCTTCCTCTTGTCATTCCATCCAAATAATAAAAATGACCACTTTCAGAATAATGCTGTATCCACACTGAAGAAATAAAATACCTTGGGGAGACACCTACATACATATAAAACCTATATATACAGAGTCATGGGCAGTCCTCACTAGATAGTACTTGTCTGGAGTCGTGCAATTTAGCTACAAGTGCTCAAGTGCTTCAAAGAGAAACAAAAGGCAAATAAAAACAAATTAAATGTGGATTTAGTCCTACAGAGTGTAGCAGTCTGATAATCTAGCTCCTAACCAATAAGGACCTGAAAGAGAACCAAATATTTTGAGCCTTTTTTTTCTGGAACTGGCTTACAAACAGTAGAGTTGGAGACGTTTATATGCTCAGCTTGCAGACAAGGAAATGGTTTCTTTACTGCCGTGACCTTCCCAATTCACCTAGCTGCAGCCTACTCTGGGTCTGTGCTTTCAGCCCTACATCAACTGATTCTGGAAGCAGAACTCGGGTAACTACGTGAACCCCTATGAACCCAGAGAGAGACCCCTGCCATTCCCCACAGAAGTGTGTTGAATTCAGGGGTCATTCAAGGATTTACACCAGGGTAATGCCCCGTAACATTGAAACATGGCTCTTAAATTGATGTAAGACAAGGCTGCCTGCTGCCACCCTCTCACCCTGACCCTCCTTCCAGCACTGGTTCTTGTATGGTCAGACTACACTGGAGCCAGCTCACCCCCAACTGCAAGGGTACCAGCCATGGATGGGCCATTCTCCTGGGGGCTGCAAAAGGAAGGCTCTTTGGAAAGTTACACACGCTTTATGTGGGTCTCTAGCACTGCTTCAGTAAATAAGGAGATCAAAAGACAAAGCTACTGAGAAACACAGCTCTGCTGAGGCTCAAGGACTGGCCGCCTTGCCCACTGCACTCCCCACAGCCAGCCACAGACAGGGCAAGCCTGCAGCGCTGGGCTCTGCTCCCCAAAGAGAGCAGGGGGCACCTGCTAGAGAAAACACTCCCAGGCCACCGGGGGAGAGTCCCCTCAGCCCCACGATTTGCCCACCACAGGGGAGACCTCCTCTGAAAAAGCAAAATCTCGAGGCCG